CTTCACCCCATTAACCTTTTCCAAACCGCGCCCGCCGTAACAAAAACAGCTTTGTACCGGCCTCTGTCGTCACCTCAGCTGGCGGCACTTGTTATAAACATTTATGTTTCTCACAACCTTTCCTTTATGTTTAAAGTGGTTTTAGTTACAGTTATTTAAAGCCGATAAGATTTTCGATAAGTAGAAACAATAACCATAACATTTAAATGTTTATTTTATTTTGTACAGCTCTTTGTTTCTAACGGATCTTGATAAAGTGTGTATGTTTGTGTATATATTTTATAGCGTCTTCCTTTATTTTTCTTATACAATCATATAAATATAACATTTAGCAATTCCTAGTAAAAGTATTTACTATGGTATTCCAATAAGAAATATACTATTATTATTTTATTAGAAATCTTGACCGTTATTAATTGTTCGCGTAGAGGTTTTTTGTTTCTACTTTTTATGAATTGAAACATATAAAGTTACTGTTGTTGTAACTTAAATCATTCAAAAACATTACGTAGTAAAGATAAATAACATTACTTACAGTTTTTTGAAAGCAAATCCAAATAAAATCACAAAACTTCAACGATTATGCAACTAACCGCACCAACAGCGCAAAATCAAATGACTGTTATATTTGATTTTGTCTATGTAACCGAGTGAATATAATCTACAGCTAGAAACAGAAAACTGTCTATGGCTAATTACAATATGTGATCTATGGTACTAAAAAATAAACAATCAAAACGAAAAAAAGGAAAAATTTGGAACGAAGCTAATTATTTCCGGGTTATTTTATATTTTACATAATTGAATAGCCATTGTTAAAAAAGCGAAAGTTAAAAGTAATGGAATCTCCTGACATATTGTCTTCTAATATAAATGTTACGGACTCCAACGAGTCAGGGTTAGTTTTGTTATCCGTATTTTTAATTTATCCTATAAACTGTTACATTCATTTTGTTTACTTTCAGAAACATTCAACACCATAAGAGTCGTGAAGAGTTTCCTGACCTTCGGGATCATGTTATAGCTAATTTTCGAAAACCCAACTTACCCAATATTAACGTTCCAGAGAAAATTATAATCTGTTTAGATATTTGCTACGATAATCAAAATTCTCTCTATCGCTTGGGTGATGGCACAACATTTACACCAGTGAATATGCTGAAAAGAATTCTGGATTTCTTTTTATATTCGAAACATGCTATTAATAAGAGAACGGAATTTGCTTTACTTGTCTTAAAAGACAGTGAACCTTGTTGGTTACAAAACTTCACTAATAATATAAAGGATATTATAAGTGTTATTGACTACTTAAATGCAGAAGAGAGTACCTCAGAAATATTTGATTTTGAAAAAATATTCCAAATATTAAAGCAAGAAATACAAATTCCCGAATACTGCCAGGCAGATTGTATTTTGCCTCCACCATATGTGGTGAGGATGATAGTTTTATATGGAAGATCTAATTGTGTCCCTCAAATTCCACAAGATGATCCTTATTTTATTTATCTTAAGAAACAATTCTATTTCTATACGGACATTTTATTAGCACATGAAGAAGATTGTGCACTCTATAAATGTGAAGAAATATATGATGCACTACAAGATTTAGACAATGGATATTCTTATGTATATGAGGTATCGAGAAATGCAACAAAAATTCATGACTGTGTTGCCAAACTTTTAGCTCATCCCTTACAGAGGCCATTACAAAAAAATACAGACTATACTTTTGGATGTAGATATTAAATTATAATAAATAGATTAAACATTTACAGGATTTCAATTGGTGGGGGGGGGGGGAGGAGGAATTCTTAATGTTAATAAAAATCTTAATCTTAATTTCCTGGCTAAAATACAAGTACTTACAGAAAAGAACTTGAAGAAAAATTTATCTTATTTCGAGAACTATAAGTATGGTTTTTAAGTATTTGGTTTATAAGTATGGTTTAGGGTTTAGCTTCTAATTATAAACTTGGACGCAACAAAATAGGAAGCAACTTTCATTTAATTTAACTTGTATATGTTTTCATTTCAATTTACCTTATATATATTTATACTAGCTTTTTGCCCTGTGCAGTATTACCCGCATTCAGTTGTGATATCCAGACATGTGTGACCCACACAAGATTGTATAATATTGAGAGTGCTCAAACAGCGAAATATGAGAGGCAGAACCGAAATATGCCATCACATGGCATATTTCGGTTCTGATATTTCAGAATGATGATTGCAAATTTTTTATTTGATAAAGACTGACTGATGAAGACTACTTTTAGCATATTGGTACAAGGCTGTAGTGTACTCGAGAAACTGTAGTGATGGTGTAAGAATATCCACTATCCTGTATTCATCCCATAGGTGTCATAAGAGGTGACAGAGTGAAACTAACCAGGAAACAGGCAAGGGTGTCCAATGAATTCGACTTTTTGAACTGATTTTGTAATCTCGCTACTGTAGCTAACACACAATCTATGTTATAAAACGAATGGTGATTCAGATTGGTATTATCAGAACGTAAGTTTTTATTAAAAATTACATTATTCTCATGGAATAAATAAGAAATACAAGGCTAAGTATTCTAGTCATTTGCTACTTACTACAAGTGCCAGCTAGTGGCAGACAGACGAACGTGATCTGACTAATCGATATTCGTAAGTATGAGAAAATATATGACAAAATGAATAAAATGATAAAAGAATTGGAAATTGGATTGATATACTAAGTATATCCCTGCAATTTATATAGCCCAAATAAAATTAGTTGTCTGATGGAAATTTATTAACAGTGAGCTAAATTATCATTTTTGCAATGGAAACAAGAATTATAAAGAACAATAACTTTGCGATTGTTTATTGACCTTAAAAATAACACATTTTTTTTATAGGTTGATGAATTCGAAGATATGAAGATCACTTTTTTCAGCTTCTTTCCAAAAGCTATGGGTAATAATAAACTACTTACTTCTCTGGTTACTTCTTTGGTTGGTAACCCAAGGAAAAATATTCATTCACTGGGTGACTGTATCAAACCCTATAATTTCGTATATTTTCATAGACATTTGATAAAGGGTCCGTCAAATAACTTCTTTTTTAAAAAATGCTATTAAAAAAAACTACTAGTTTTTCAAATTTCTTTTTTTATTTGAAAGTACAATCCTTCCAGTTAATGATGGAAAATAATTTCATTCTTGTGTGCAGCTGTATTTCACCAATGGCTTCACGAATATTGTCCTTTAAAGTGTCAATTGTGTCTGGCTTGTCGGCGTAACACTTATCTTTGACGGCACCCCACAAATAATAGTCCAACGGTATCAAATCACAGCTCCGAGGTGGCCAAACGACATCAGCTCTGCGGCTGATAATGCGATTTTCAAAAACAGGGCGCAAAACATCAAGTGTAGCGTCGGCTGTGTAGCACGTTGCGCCGTCCTGTTGAAACCAAATGTTGCCAATATCCTCCTCTTCAATTTCTGTGAACAAAAATTCGTTTAACATGGCCCGATAACGATCGCCATTGACTGTAACTGCGACACCTTGCTCATTTTCGAAAAAAAATGGCCCAATTATGCCTCTGGACCAAAATCCGCACCAAACAGTGACTCGTTTTGGGTGCACCGGCTTTTCGATGAATGCGTGCGGGTTTTCTGTGCCCTAAATGCGACAATTCTGCTTGTTTACATACCCGCCAAGTTTGAAATGAGCTTCATCTGAAAAGATTTTTTTTGGCAAAATCCGCATCTTCTGCAAGTCGATCGCAAGCCCACTTAGCGAAGCGAAAACGCATTGGATGGTCAGTTGGCTTCAACTCCTGAACCAATTGGATTTTGTACGGCGTCATACCAAGGTCTTTACGCAAAATTCGTCGCAATGATGTCTCCGAAATGTCCAATTGTTGAGAACGACGGTGAACTGATGTTGATAGCGTTTCACGCACACTTTCGGCCACAACAGCAATATTCTCGGGTGTACGCATTGTTTTTGGCTTTTCACGCGTTGGTTTATCGATGAGGATGCCAGTTTTTTTCACTTTTTTCACAAGGTAACGAACATACGGAGCTGACGGTGCTTCATTTCTTCCAAAATCCGTACGCAATTTTCGCACACATTCTGCAACGTTACCATGATTTTCAAAGCAATGTCGCAATATTTCCCAGCGTTGTATAAGCGTAGGATAAAACAAGGGTATGTTCCGAAATACAACGCAGTGTACTGTCCATAGATTACTGTATATATCAGGCTCTACAATCTTAGAACATAAAACTTGGAAACCTACGAAATGCTATTATGCAAAATTAAGACGCACTTAGTAAACTATTTAAAACCATATCTATTGACTACTTTTTATTTTAGTCGTATTATAAAATCGTATTTATTCCAACTTACAATAATAGGTGACACTGTTCGAAATTTCAAGCGAATAATTCGTTCATCACATACTAGATGTCGCCACTACGTAGGTAGTGGCGACATCTAGTATGTCTCATCTATCAGGTAGCTTTACAAAATCTTTAAAAAAAATAGTTCTATTTAGTAGAAAATAAGTGTAACAGAAATTAAGATATTTGCTTTTGTTTAACATTAATATAAAATCTGTAATGAAAATTTTTGAAATTTTCTTATAAATAAATACTGCTTACATATGCTTTCGTAAAACTATTCATTAAGAAATCCAGTAACTAGATGTTTTTGATATTTTTTTGAAACTGAATCTGGCAGCACAACAACCTGCCATTATGGAATAGTTTTATTCACGTTTCCCGCTACTTGTTTCATTGTTTCTCGATATTGGAGTTGCGAATAACTAATATTTTATTGTATTTGGTGGAGTTGCTCCTATTTTATGAAAGTGTTTTTATGTTATTTTTTTTTGTTTTATTTTATCTATTATATTATTTACGTTGAATTGAGCTACCTATTATTCTTACAACTTCATTTCCAACGATTTGTTTTTTTGTGATATCTTGTCTCCATTGTTACATAGAATAAATAATTTAAATAATTATGTCAGATAAGCGTTGCTGTGTCCCCGGATGTAAAGACAGTAAGGGTAAGTCATCTCGTCTCCAAACAACTTGCATCAAGGGCATTATTTGTCTTAGGCTTTAACACATAAGTATGACTTTTTTAAATGTATCTTGTAAATATTTTAGGCAAGCTAGTTCTTCACAGATTTCCAAACCCAGAAAAGGAAAGTGAACGACTTAGGGTATGGATTTATGCAATTGGCGGTGATATACTAGGCCTCGAAAATATGCACATATTCAAGTATCGCCGTGTGTGTCACTCACATTTTGAAGAAAAATTTCAATGCAGAAATAACAGAATTAGTAACATTGCTGTGCCAACTTTGAATATGCCAGGTTTGTCTTTATAGATTACAGAAAAAGTATGTTATAGAATTATTCAGGACAGTATATTATCAATGACATGTATTGTAAAATATGTCTAATTGAGTAGGTACCTACATAGCATTAATTTTTACAATGATTCATTCATTAAATAAATAGAATAAAATGAAATACTACTTATATGCACTATAGAGCTTAAAAGGATAATACATGTAGCGATTCCGGTTGACAGAAGGATGAGGATATGATAATTAAGCCTAGTTTTCATAAATGTGAAGTTGGCAATGTTTTATCACCCCACTTTTTCTACTTTTTTCATTAAATAATGTTATATATTATTATTATATTGTGAAATTATACTTTTTGCAAGTCATCACAGATACTGGGCCTGTTTTTTATTGCCATATATATAAATAATTTCAAAGTTAATCCTATTATTTTCTTTTAGCTGCATTATCAAATAAACCAGCAGTTATGAAAAGAAAACCCATGAAAGAAATTTTGAACCTAGCAGAACCGTCAACATCAACAGGTACTGATATATATGATCATATATGTATTATCATGATTACAGCACATCACAAGTCCACAGCTGAACATAGTATGTGACCTTTTCAAGGGGACTTAATATACATATGAAAAAATGTTAATTTATTTAACTAAAAAAAAAGAAAGAAGTTTCCAGTAGAAAGGGTTGAGATGATACAGAAGTTCCTAAATTTGGATTGACTTAACTAAGAGTCTAAAATATATACTATATATTGTTATATGATAACTAAAAATCCATAAAATTAAACACAATAAAATCTCTACAAATATAATGGAATAATCTAACATAAAATTTATAAAACTTATGTACATGTTAAATAACTTTAATAAAATTTTAATAAACCTCAAAACTAATAAAAGAGATGATTGCCTTCAGATGGCTGAACGGCTTATCTCTTGATCAAGTCACCTGTCAACAAAAAAAGCTAAATTATATTCCATCTGTTTGGCCACTATGATGCTTTAGACGGACACACAGATACAAATGTTTAATTTATAACACCCCTCTGTTTTTATCTTTTAAATTCAAAAAGCGTGGTAATGCATTATTTTAACTGATATTACTGTGCACGCACTCATTTATAAGGGTCAATCTGAGATGATTGCCTTCAGATGGCTGAACGGCTTATCTCTTGATCAAGTCACCTGTCAACAAAAAAAGCTAAATTATATTCCATCTGTTTGGCCACTATGATGCTTTAGACGGACACACAGATACAAATGTTTAATTTATAACACTCCTCTGTTTTTATCTTTTAAATTCAAAAAGCGTGGTAATGCATTATTTTAACTGATATTACTGTGCACGCACTCATTTATAAGGGTCAATCTGTAGACAAAAACATGGTGTCCCATAAATCACGTTCAATTTGGGATAGATGCAAATAAAATTAGAAGCCTTACTTGCTCATATTTACAAAAACTGCAATAATGGTTTATCATTTATATATTTGAACTTAATTTAAAATTTAGCTACTCTTTAAACAATAACCTGTATACTGCACAAAGTAAATTACAGTTAAATTCTTTTTCAATTTAACAATTAAATAACTATGCAGCTGTGACTGTGCACTTGAATATTTGCAGCGCATTGCCTGGCAGGGTCGCCATGTAATGTTGGTAAAGATGTTAACGAGAGGAGACACATTGATCCGTCTATTACTTTAATTAAACAACTCATATTCTAAACTTAACACTACATTGTCGTGGGATTTACTATTCAATCCACTGAGAAACACCCATTTCTCCTAACCTACAGTGATATATTTAGTTTGGTTATTTCTTTAAATCTTTCCTTGTCTTCTTTTGATATTGATTTATGAATTTCATTTCAGGTCATTACTCTGAACGTTCGGTACATCGATTATACACAAAAATGGAAGGAAATACATCTCACAAAGAAAATCTTGGTCAGTCAGAATTTTGATGGCATTTATTAACAGTTTCAATTTATTGAACATAAGATATAAACTTTTATTATAATACAAATATATATATATATATATATATATATATATATATATATATATATATATATATATATATATAGATATATATATATATAGAATATATATATATATATATGTGTATGTATATATATATATATATATATAGATATATATATATATATATATAGATATATATATATATATATATATATGTGTATGTATATATATATATATATATATATATGTGTGTGTGTGTGTGTGTTGTATGCCGAAGTTGATCCGATATACAAATCCACCTTGCGATGGTTACGGAAAATGTTGATCCGATTTAAATGAGCCAATCAGAGCACAGAAAATGATAAGACAAACGATCGGATTGGCTGAAAGCAGCCGCGACGTTGCCGTTTCGTATCTTTGGCGGTACAAGCTACAGATTAAATGCGTGTTCAATACAATAAAGCATTCAAGGTGCTGTTGGGTCTGCCTCGTTACTGTAATGCGCCGGGTTTGTTTGTGGATGCGCGTGTGGATTGTTTCTACACCACCATGCGTAAACGATGCAGATCCCTGGTGCGTAGGGTGCGGGCCAGTTCTAATGGTATCCTGAGGGCATTTTCTGACAGGTTTGAGGTCATTACCTGAACCATTGTCATATGGTGTACGTGCTGACTAATTGGACCTGTCTTAAATATAGTTTTAAATAAATAGTTTTAAAATTAAGTTAATAGTTTCAAGTTTAACTAAAATTAGTTTTAAGATTTGTATTATTACTAACATCTATGATCCTTATGGTCGAAATAAACGACTTTTTTGACGAATAACTCGACAACGACAAGGTATTCGCCTGAGTGCGTGTTTGTGTGTGTGTGTGTGTGTGTGTGTGTGTGTGTGTGCGCGGATGTGAGCATGTGCTTGCGCATGTGGGTGTGTGAGTTTATGTGTGCGTGTGGGTGTACGTGCGTTCATGTGTGTTCGTGTGAACGCATGTGTATGCGTGTGTGTGCGGCAGTGTGCGTGTGTGAGTGTGTGTATGAGTTTGTGCGTGTACGCATGTGTGCATGTTTGCACGCGCTTGCGTGTTTGTGTGTGTGTGTTTACCATAAACCATTTAACATGTTTTCTACATCTTCATAATCAAGATTTTTAAGGACGCGTTTACAAAATTGATAGGTATAGGATCGAACTATTATATGAGATATTATCATCCCAGGAGTCCCCTTTTTTACTGGAAATGAGGCATTCCATCTTAGTCCTACGCACAACAACAATTTGACAACGACATTGCATTTTGATTTTTTAATTAAGGATAAATGTAGATGTCTATGGGCTACAACATCCACTTACCATCAGGTCGATTGTGTGCTCATTTGTCACAAGCGCCTGTGTAAAATCGTGGCTAAACTATTACATTAATATAAAGTAGCAAAGGAATAATTATAGAAGTGAAAGAAAATTAACTAATTTTTCAGATCCGGTTACTGCGATGCAAGCACCTGTGATATCAACAAATCCTGTAGTTATAAAGAAAAGGGCTGAAATGGTTTTAGGTATGGTTTATTTTGATTGAGAGTTAGAGAGATATTTATATATCATATTTGATATTTGTTCTGACAGATAATATTTAATATTTATTTGTATTATTTTTTTTTGCGTTTGTAATCCGGTATCCGCCATATGAACTATTTTGTGCATGAACGTAAAATAAATACCTAACTAATTTAAAGAATTTACATTAGACAAGAGCCAGAGCCGTGGTAGCTCAGTGGTTAACGCTGTTGTGGTGCTCAGTGGAGTAACTGGGGTTCGATCCCCGCCGGCACCAATGAAATTGTTAATTGCAATTTTAAGTGCTGATTTACCACGTGCTCGGCGGTGAAGGAAAACATCGTGAAGAAACCTGCATGTCTGAGGAATAAGCAAAAAAAATATTTCGAAGACATGTGAAGTTCGTCAACACGCATTTGGGCAGCGCGGCGGACACTTCCTTGCCCTAAACCCTCTCAGAAATGAGAGGGAGGCCAGAGCCCAGCAGTGGGACGTATATATAGGCTGCAACTTTACTTTTTTTTTACATTAGACAATGGTATAGGTAAAATAATGAACCAATTTTGATATTTGGCTGATGTGGACCTCATAACAAACTTTGTACTAAATATGTATAGATAAAATAATAAAATAGATTTTGGGAGATATTAGTATATGTATAAGAAATTATACTTCAGATTATATGTATAAACATAAGCATGTAAGACGAGAACTACTGCCGACAAACTGTAATGCAGTTTGGCAGATAAAAAATGTTAAAAACGTTTATTGTATAATTGGAAGAAAATAAATTAAAAAAAAAAAAAAGGTACAAAAATTGCCATTAAAGTATTGGTCACTAAATTTAAAAATATTTGATTCAAGAAGGTCAATTTGCAACACAACTAATAAATACTTAATGATGTTTGTGGCGTGTTGCAATAAATGTTTCTTTCTTAAACAAAACCAGTTGATATATTTATTTATTTCTAATTTTTAAGGAGGAACATTAGCAGTCAAGAAAAAGACCAAAAGGGTATTTCAGACCAAGGTTGAAAAAGAGCTGCTTAAGCAAATTATAGCATCTAAAATAAAAATCAGTAAAATGAAAAATATAATTGCGAAACAGAAAGCTCAAATAAAAGCAGCAAAAAAAGTTTGCAACAAATCCTGCAGTTTTAAAAGTTTTAGACAATTGTTCCAGTACTGCGAAAATTTTAATGCAGTTACAGTGGCGAGAAAATAAGAAACAAGAAAAAAGGACGACGATTTACCCTGCCAGAGAAGATTGCTGCTTTGTCAATATTCAAGCAAAGCCCCAAAGGATATCGGTTTTTTAGAAAAATATTTATTTTGCCTGCCCCTCAAACTCTCATTAAACTCATACAGAGGAGTAATCTCCAACCAGGACTTAATAAAAATATTTTTTCCTAGTTAAAAAATAAAGCACAAACTATGAACACAGAACAAAAATTATGTATTCTGTTATTTGATGAAATGATGTTGAAAGCTCATGTTACATTTAATGAGAGAAAAAATAAAGTAATAGGGTTTGTTGATAATGGACAGCAACGAAAGCCAGAGTATGCAGATCATGCCCAAGTTTTCATGATTCGTGGGCTGATCCACAATTATAAACAAGCTGTGTCTTATACGTTTTCGTCAAGTGCAACAAAAGGACCAGAATTAGCGAATCAAATAAAAGAAGTAATAACAGAGATACAAAAAGCAGGATTAATTGTGGTGGCTACAGTATGCGACCAAGGCACAAATAATAGACAGGCTATAAAACTTTTGATGAATGAAACTAGGGGTAATTATTTGAGAAGAGGGGAAACTCCTAAAGATAATATTATGTTGATAAATAATACTGAGATTATTCCTCTGTATGACCCTCCACATCTTCTTAAAGGCATAAGAAATAATTTATTAACCAAAAATTTAAATTTCACCGTAGATGGCGTGACCAAAACCGCCAAATGGTCTCATTTACAACTTTTATACAAAGAAGATCCGGGGTATAAAGGAATACGACTAATTCCAAAACTAACAGAAGCCCATATTAACCCAGAAAAATTAAACAAAATGAAAGTCAAATATGCTTCACAGATTTTCAGTCGCACTGTATCATCAAATATGGGATACCTAGCAGGTATAGTCAATGTATTTAGTTCATATATCTTGTATGAATGTTTTATTGTTCTTGTTAATCCAAATGAACATTTGTTTCACAGATAAGGGCATACTTCCAGAAGAGTGCAAAGACACGGCTGATCTGCTGCTTTTCATGGATAATATTTTCGACTCAATTAATGGCAGTTTTAAAAAGAAAAGACATGCTAAACCTCTACTTGGAGCTGCAACACGTCATTCCATACATCACAAAACATGGATGGATGCCAAAAAAAGTTTTTGCGTCTATGAAATTTATATCTTCCACTGGGAGGGAAGAATCTATTCCAACTGTGACAAATTGGGTGTGGACACTAGAAGGGATCGAAGTTTTATTAAAAAAATTGGAAATTGATCATGGTATTACATCAGTGTGGTTGCGTCATCTAAATCAGGACCCACTGGAAAATTTCTTTGGTGCGGTTAGAAGCCATGGGTGCCGCAATATTAATCCAACTTGTGACCAATTGAGTCAGCTTTTACTACACTTTTGATTAATAATTTAACTAGTGTCCACACTCATGGTAAAAACTGCGAGCTCGATTATTGTAATGCCTTGCATACTCTCATCATTAATGAAAACTCAGAGGCATCGTCAACCTGCACTTTTGATTTCACAAAAATTTTAGAAATAAACTTCACACCAATTACATTGAAACTAAACAACCCCCGTATAATTGCGCCATTACAATATGTTAGTGGATATTTCTTAAAAAAAGCAAAAACTCAAGTTTTTAAACATTGTGTTAACTGTAAATATGACCTTACTTCTGAAGAAGAAATAGAATACATAAAATACAGAGAATATGCGGGTAGACGATGGCTTTGTACTCCCAGTAATGATTTGATTCAATCAATTTCAAATATGCAGGATATAATCAATCATATTTCAAAAGACAATTTTGAAAATGATCAGCTAAAAGAAATTATAAAAACAAGCATATATACTTTAATTGATTTTGATTTTATGAAATGTAATGTGCATAAAAATAAATTAGTTGATTATTTGATTAATATTGTGATACGTTGTCTGATTTTTAATAGTTGTAAAAATATTAATAGAATATTGACTGGGAGAAAAGAAGTAGATGATGATGAGAACTTTTTCCAAATTAAAGCCAAAAAGTTAAGAAGTAAACTTTTTAAAAGAAAGAAATAATTACTCTTGTTTTTACCAAAAAGAGTTAAATATTTAATTATTGTTACAAATTTTATTTATTCGTTCGTTTTAAACTAATCAATGATTTGTAATAATAGATACGCTTTAATTGAACTACCGAGTTATAAAAGTAAGAATAAAGAATCATAATTTTTTTTACATTTTTTATAATAAGCAGATATATCATTGCTAAATAGGTTAGATACTATGAAAAGAATGCATTATTACAATATTAATCAATTTATTTTTAAGCACATTTTATAATCGTAAGTCCATTGCTAAAGATTGGTGATATTATGGGAATATTTGTCAGTATAACAGGCGGGGTTGGCAACCGCAGCGTTTTTTTTTTCTGAAGAGGCTGCTACACATCTCATGTTTTAGTTTATCTCTGTCGCTTCTTACGACACACGGAATCTCTAGCATATATACAGTAATCTATGCACAGGATGATATTGAGTAGTGAATTCTCTTACGCCGTCATTACATTACAGAGTAAAATACAGCACATTATTATTTCTAATATTTATTTTATTTAAAAAAATGTGTTAGAAATAATACAAAGAAGCATAATGATTTCTTAAATTTACGCGAACACTACACATTGAATAAAAACTATATATACGGATTTTATCGCGTTTAATCAACTATTTTAACTTATTTTTAATTCCCAAAAGTTAGCTACCGTGTGTAAATATTTGTTTCAGAGAGCACGTGGGATCTGTGACAGAAAACATATGGCCGCCGAGCTTCAGCATGTCAAGCAAGTGTTGCAAGACAAACAAGCTTCGGGTCCCGCGCCGAGTGAAGCCGGCCACAGTCGAGCGCCCGCCTGCTGTACTGCCGTATTTCGGAGGAGTCACAGACAAGGTTGGTTACATCTTGAAGGGAGCTTTCATTAAAAAATTACAAGCCGCCGAAGAAGATTGATCAATTTTTACCATCCATCAAATGTTATATTCCTCTACAAGATGCAGGTGTGTACAAGCTAGATTGTGAATGTGGTCTCTCTTAATTTTCCTTTTCATCATATCCAGTATAATTGTGTCAATTCCAGTAAATTACAGTTAAATTCTTTTTTTTTTATTTAACAGTTTAATAATTATTCAGACTGCGACAGTGCACTTGCATTGTCGCAGCGCATTGTCTGGCAGGGTCGCCGTGTAATGTTGGTAAAGATGGTAATGAGAGGAAACATACTCTAAACTTAACACTACATTGTCGTGGGATTTACTATTCAATCCACTGAGAAACACCCATTTCTCCTAACCTACAGTGATATATTTAGTTTGGTTATTTCTTTAAATCTTTCCTTGTCTTCTTTTGATATTGATTTATGAATTTCATTTCAGGTCATTACTCTGAACGTTCGGTACATCGATTATACACAAAAATGGAAGGAAATACTTCTCACAAAGAAAATCTTGGTTAGTCTGACTTATGATGCCATTTTTTAACAGTTTCAATTTAATGAACATAAAAAGTAAAGTAAAGTTACAGCCTATATACGTCCCACTGCTGGGCACAGGCCTCCACTCATTTCTGAGAGGGTTTTAGGGCAGGAAATAGTCCGCCGCGCTGCCCCAATGCGTCGTAATATGCGTCGAAATAAATCGTGTTGGCGAACTTCACATGTCTTCGAAATAATTTTTTTTATATCTCAGACATGCAGGTTTCATCATGATGTTTTTCTTCACCGCCGAGCACGTGGTAAATCAGCACTTAAAATTGCAATTAACAATTTCATTGGTGCCGGCGGGGATCGAACTCGGTTTGCTCGCGTATTGTGAAATTTACAGCGAGCTCTAACCATCTGAGCTACCACGGCTCTTGAACATAAGATATAAACTTTTTTTATAATGCAAAAATTTTGAATTACTCTGTATATTTAATGTGTTTCTATGATTGTAATTATAATTCAATGTTTTTAATGAAGTTCTTATAACTTATATGTGGTAGAGCCACGCTGCTTAATGCGGGTGAGTTTTGTATGGTGTTTAGGTTTTACTGGAAATGAGGTATTCTATCATAGTCTTCAGGGGTGGCAACGCATCTGCATTTTAATTTTTAATTGAATTTAAATGTAGATATCTATAGGTACAGCATCAAATTACCATCAGTTTGATTGTGTGCTCATTTGTCACAAACGCCTGTGTAAAATCATGGCTAAAAGTATTACAATGATATAAAGTAGCAAAGGAATAATTATAAAAGTGAAGCATGTTGCTGAAAGAAAATTAACTAATGTTTCAGATCCAGTTACTCCAATGCAAGATCCTGTGATATCAACTAATCCTGTAGTTATAAAGAAAAGGGCTGAAATGTTTTTAGGTATGATTTATTTTGATTGAGAGATGATAACTATTTATATTTAATATTTGATAATATGATATATATTTCATATTTGTTCTGACATAGACAATATTTATATGTAAGGAAAAGAGATAAACTACATATGAAAACTAAAAAGTTACCGGATAATGAAGAACTAAAGATTAAGTACTTATATGAGAAACATGTGTAACAAAATTATTAAAAATCTGAAAAAAAGAATATTATAAAAATAAATTAATAAAAAATCAAAGAAATACAAAATGAACATGGAAGATAATTACAGAAGTGTGTAATTTAATTAATTTTGTACAGGGAAAATAAAGTTATACTATTTGTCCAAAATTATACCAAGTTTGACGTTTTATTGTTTTTTTTTTGCCAAATTTTTGACGTCACGTGGCTAGTGATTTTATATGTTTTGATTTTTGGTTTTATTATTATTTCTGTTTTATTTTTGTCTTAAGAACTTACCTAATACCTAATATGTTTTATATTCAGTAAGGGTAAAACGAAAAGAACACAAAAGAAACGATACCTACATAATTGAAACTGAACATCGTATTCATAAAATATTTTAAAATTCTGTTTTCATTTCGACACACAAACTGAGAGAAGCTGCTGCCGTCATCAAGCTTCTGGTAAAAATGGATAGGATAAGACTCATAAACAATGTTTACACATGTGCGATGACGAATTGCAATTTGCCTAGTATTATTAAGATACTGCATACTGCACATTATGAAATAATGGTATAAATAGGATAATTATACTACGAAATCCGACCCTGGTTACGTCGTGTTATAACGTTTGTATTATGACAGATGCGCTACTTTTTTTTGTATGAAGAATCCTTCATTTTGAAATCATTGGTATCATTACGTTAGCCTAATGGCAGGGTACGGGCCGCGAGCTCAAAAGGTCGTGAAATCGAGTCCGCTATTCGATTACTCTCGTGAACCGTCCCTAGCACAAGCATTTTAAGCTGGTGGTTAAGGGGAATATTAGTAATGATAATATCATTGCTAGTATTTTATCAGCCCTTTTTTACGTGGTAGAGCCATGCTGCAGTTATATCAGTAGTCCAGGAAGGACCACGCTCTCACAGAATACCAGCGTAAAATAGTAGCTTAATGCTACTGTTTCGTATGATGAGTGTAGAGAACCGGAGACCCTTTTTACTGGAAACGAGGCATTTCATCTTAGTCCTCACGGGTGACAACGCGTCTGCATTTTTATTTGTAATCGAGGATAGATGTGGATGTCTATGGGCCACAGCAACCACTTACCATCAGGTGGACTGTGTGCTCGTTTGTCACCCTATCCTATAAAAAAGCCCTTCTTGATTATTGCTCCACCACCTCTTATATGTTCCTCTGTTTAGCTTAATAGTTGACTGATAGAATTCCCTATGGCATTAAAGTGCACCCTATGAACTATTTTGTGCATGAACGTAAAATAACAAATTTAAAGAATTTAGATAGGTACCAAAATTTACATTAAATTATTGGTCAATAAATTTAAAATTATTAGATTCGGGAAAGTCAATTCGCAACCACTTATAAATACTTAATGA